CACTTAAAATTAACTTATAACAACGACAACAACAAAAACCTTCAGGGAACTTCAAAACACATGGAAATACCATCTGAACATAGCAGACTAGAGTCCTACAAGATGTGACCTCTTCGTTTTTCTCCTTTGACATGCTTATGCAAAGTAAAATAATCTGATGCATAATTCACATGTATTCAAAATGATAATCTCTGTATAAAAAGTGTCAAGTAAATTAGTGTGTTTTTGTCTGAGACAGGAATGTTTAAATATTGATTTTTATTGCCTACTTATTGTGTTTTGAGAGTACGAGTTTCAGAATAGGGAAAGTCTTTGTACCCAAAGAGAAAAAAAGGGTGATTTGTCTATAACATGATATACCTTTCCAAGAGATATTATGGCAAAAAGTTATTAACTGAACAGTTCTTTTCTTTTTAATTTATTTTAAATGTTTTATTTATTTCTAGGAGAGAGAGAGAGAGAGACAGCGTGAGCAGGGGAGGGTCAGAGAGAGAGGGAATCACAGACTCCGAAACAGGCTCCAGGCTCTGAGCTGGCAGTCAGCACAGAGCCCAATGCGGGGCTCGAACCCACGAACTGCGAGATCATGACCTAAGCGAAAGTCGGACGCTTAACCGACTAAGCCACCCAGGCACCCCTAACTGAACAGTTCTTAATGGGGAGGGGGGGGAGACTGTATTTGGCATTACTAATCTCAATACTAATATAATTTATAATTAATGACAATATTCCAAGGAATTACATAGAATAAGGAAGATACTAATTATATCAATCTTGCCTTCATTTCTCAATTTTAAACTGAAGATGAGAAAAAATTTCATTGTACAAATAAATACTTAAAAGAAAAAAGAAACCTTATTAGGTTAGTCTCAAAAAGCCTCCAAATTATTAGTAAACCTAAGTATCTCAGGCCTTTAGGAAACACAAAATTATACAACTTCAAGACTTATTATAAACCTAGTCAAAACAGTATGGTATTGGGAAAAGAAAAGACAAACAGATCAGTGTATACAGAGTCAAATGATCTTCAACAAAGGAGCAAAGGCAATACAATGATGCAAAGATTATTTTTTCAACAAATGGTGCTGGAACAACAGGACATCCACATACAAAAAAGGAACCTAGACACTGACCTTACATCCTTCACTAAGATTAACTCAAAATGGATCATAGACCTAAATGTAAAATGCATAGTTCTAAAACTCATAGAAGACAACACAGAAAAATTGCTAGATGACCTTGGGTATAGCAATGACTTTTTAGAAGCAACAAAAGATATAATCCTTAAGAGGGGCACTTTGTGGCCCAGTGGGTTAAGCATCTGACTCTTGGTTTTGGCTCAGGTCATGATCTCATGGTTCGTGAGTTTAAGCCCCACATCAGGCTCTATGCTACAGTGTGGAGCCTGCTTGGGATTCTCCCTCTCTCTGCCCCTCCTCTGCTCACATGGTCTCTGTCTCTCTCAAAACAAAAAAGATAAATTTTAAAAAACTTAAAAAGAAAAATAATCTTAAAAGAAATAATAAGCTAGACCTCATTAAAATTAAAAATATTTGCTCTGTAAAAAACGTCAAGAGAGTAAGATAAATCACAGACTGGAAGAAAATATTTGCAAAAGGTAGTTTTGATAAAGAAATGTTATCAAAAGTATACAAAGAACTCTTAAAACCCAATAAGAAAATGAACCCAATTAAAGTGGGCAAAAGACCTTAACAGACATCTCATCAAAGATATACAGACAGCAAATAAATACCTGAAAAGATGGTTAACATCGTATGTCATAATCAAAGTGCAAATTAAACAAGATACAACCATATATCTATTAGAACGGCCAAAATCCAAACCACTGACAACACCAAGTACTGACAAGGTTGTGAGGCGAGAAGAGCTCACATTCCTTACTGGTAGGAGAGCAAAATGATACAACTGTTTTGGGAGACAGTTACAGAGTTTCTTAAAAACCTAAACAAACTCTTAATCATACACTCCAGCAATTGCACCAGTTAGTATTTACCCAAGTGAACTGAAAACCTACGTCCATACAAAAATCTACACACAGGGGCACCTGGGTGGCTTATTCGGTTAAGCCTCCAACTTTGGCTCAGGTCATAATCTCGCGGTTCAGGGGTTTGAGTGCCGTGTTGGGCTCTGAGTTAACAGCTGAAGCCTGGAGCCTACTTCTATGTTTCCTTCTCTCTCTGGCCCTCCCCCAGTTGCACTCTGTCTCTCTCTCAAAAATAAACATTAAAAAAAAAACTACACACAGATGTTTGTAGCAGCTTTATTCATAACTGCCAAAACTTGGAAGCAACCAAATGTCTGTCAGCAGGAGAATGGATAAATTATGGTACACTGACAATGCATTATTCAGTCACCCCCTCCCCCCAAAAACCAAGCTATATGAAGCCATGGAAAGAAGCCATGGAGGAAACTAAATGCAAATTACTAAGTGAAAGAAGCCAATCTGAAAAGGTACATACTGAATGCTTCCAACTATATGTTCTCAAGAAGGCAAAACAATGCAAACAAAAACATTAGCGGTAGCCAGAGTCGGGTGGGGGTGACAAACAGAGCACAAAAGATTTTTTGGGCAGTACAACTATTTTTGTATGATACTACAGTGGTGAATATGTCATTATTCATTTGTCAAAATGCACAAATGCACAACACTCTGTAAACTATAATATAAACTATGGACTTTGAGTGATAATGTGTCAATATAAGTTCACTGATTAAAACAAATGTATCACTCTGGTGGGGGATGTTGTTGGTGGGAAGGCTGTATAAATATGGAAGCAAAGAGTATATGAGAACTCTATACTTAAGTTTCTTTCTAAAACTGCTCTAAAAAATAAAGTCTATTTAAAAAGTTTTAAAAAATGGGGCGCCTGAGTGGCTCAGTTGGTTGAGCGTCCAACTTCAGCTCAGGTCATGATCTCATGGTTCGTGGGTTTGAGCCCCACATCAGGCTCTGTGCTGAATGCTTGCTTGGAGCCTGGAACCTGTTTCGGATTTTGTCTCCTTCTCTCTCTGCCCCTCCCCAGTTCACACTCTGTCTCTCAAAAATAAAAATAAAATTTAAAAAATGAAAAGTTTTAAAAAGAAAGATAAGAATGGTAAGATCCAAACAAAGTCTGTAGTCTAGTTTAGCATTTTTCTAGAGGTAATAAAATTTATATCTCGATATAAAAAAATGTTCTGTGACTATTTGTCCCTTAAAATATAACAGACTTATTTTCTAGGGGGCTCAGTATACAGTGCTCAAAGTTTCAGACATAGGTGAGAATATTCTGAAAGAGAGAATGTCTTGTACAATTAAAATTACCTTTTTGTATAAGAGTAAAGCATAAAAAGTACATGCACTCTGATGAAATATGAAATTTAACAGGAAATAGGATCCAAAAGATAATACAGACTACTAGGTTCAACACTCTTTTTTCTTTATAATTTTTTTTTTAATGTTTATTTACTTTTTGGGAGAGAGAGACAGAGACAGAGCACAAGCAAGGGAAGGGCAAAGAGAGAGAGAGACACAGAATCTGAAGCAGGCTCTAGGCTCTGAGCTGTCAGCACAGAGCCTGACGCAGGGCTTAAACTCAAACCGTGAGGTCATGACCTGATCTGTAGTCGGAAGCTTAATCGACTGAGCCATCCAGGCAACACTAGGCTCAACACTCTTGTACCTGCTCAATGGCATAGCTTTTATTTTGAGTCATAACAAATAAATTTGTAAGCTTTTTTTTTTCAGTTCTACAGACTTAAAGTCATTAAGTTAAACATTTCTAGAGATAACTAAAAATCTCTAAATTATGTGTTCACCTAAAACAGAGTCGATGTAACATATATAAACCATTGTTACCTTTTTATATTCATAATTTTTTCTTCAAAAGTGGAATTTAATTCTTAAAAGATGTAATCATTTCAATGAGTGTAGCTCCATCACAGTTCATGAGATAATATTTATTTATTATGCCAATATTTAAACAAATTCATTTGTATCAAACACAAACCAAAAAAACATACAGTATCAGGAGATAGCTTCAATATTCATGGTGAGTATAAGATCTGAAACAAAGTCTCCCTTACAAAGATCAGTGCATCTAGTCTGTTTAATGTACAAAATTATCATCTTGGAATATCAAAAATTCAAAACAAAAAAAATGACATTTTAAAAAGGAAAATGATAGTTTCAAAGGCAAAGTGATGCTTCCACTCATTTCAAAAACCGAATTTTTCTAAAATATAAGTAGAAAGGTTAAATACATAGAAAAAACACTGCACCTTAACTAAACAAACTTGAAAAACATTTTATCTACAGACCTAAAATGAAACCATGCGGATTTTTAAAATTGTAACTATTCTACCTCCTTGTCTGCCTAATGTATTTCCTAATATATATTTAATAAAAATGATAATGCTTTCAAGATACAGAACATATAAAGCAAGACCATTTTTATCAGTAATTTAAAGAAGGAAAACAATAAATCTAAGGTATAACCCTACAATGAAGCACAGTAAACTGTGAAGTGAAGAGTGATCATGATGTTCTCAAAGCAGAAATGTGTGACTTTTAAACTTTAAAATAGCAGGCTGCTGGGGCACCTGGCTGGCTCAGTTGGAAGAGCATGCAACTCTGGATCTTTGGGTCATAAGTTCAAGATGAATATTGGGTACAGGGATTACTAGAAAAAAATAAATAAAAACTTAAAAAAATAAATAAAGTAAAACAGCAGGCTACCTAATTAATCCAGACAGTAAGGAAAGCAGGATAGGGCAGGAAGTAAGAGCGGGACAAAGAGAGGCACCTGGGTGGCTGCTGGTTGAGCGTCCTATTCTTGATTCACGTTCACGTCATGATCTCATGGCTTGTGAGATCGAGCCCCATGTGGGACTCTGGGCTGACAGCGTGGAGTATGCTTGGGATTCTCATGCTCCTTCCTCTGTCTCTGCCCCTCCACTGCTCATACTCACACTAGCTTCCTCTCTCTCAAAGTAAATGAACATTGGAAAAAAAAAAAAAAAAAAAAAACCCCTACCATGCAGGAAGGTGTTTTCTAAAAAAAAGAGCTAGACAAAAGACGCTACACTGCTAAGAAGATAATCTACCTTGTCTTCAGTTTCTCTTTTGACTTCTTACCATGTGTAAAGGTAAAGAAAAACTACTCATTCCCAGTACAGGGTCAATAAAAACTTAAAAGGGAAAAACTTATCCCTTGCTATGTTCCACTAATGTTTTACCTATAAAAATGGGAAGAAATTTAGGGAAAACTATACTTTCACCTCAAATGAGTTTAAAGACAATCATATTTTAAATCAATCTTTTAACGATAAGACTAATATCCCATTCTAAAAAGAATGATCTGAAAAGTGAGAAAGTAGGTAGCTACTTTAAGCTCCATATAAATTGAATCTTTATACTCATTTATCTTTTAAGTACAGAAACATTTTAAGTTATCATTTCCTCTTTAATCCTCTAAAATCTCATGCAAAAAGTTGAATGAAGCCTCATTCATACCATAGATGTAGAAATAAAAGCAGAAAAAAGATTAAATGACTTAGAAGCTAGGCTTTACCATTACAAAATGGGAACAAAGTCTGACCCGATCCTTTGTTCATGTGTTAGAGGCACATTAATAAATATCAATGAAGTGATTAAATACTAAACTGGTCTTAACTTCCACATAAATTAAGAAGGAAGGGAACACATTTGATCAAAAGTATTTAAAATAAAGCTTCCTTATCCTTTTTCAGGGATTCCTAAAACTCCACTTTTCAACTTTTAATAGGTACACTAATTTACAAAGGACATATTAGCATTTACTATGTAACATTAAAGTTCCCAGTTAAGAAACTGGTCACCAGTGAAATAAGAAGCACCAGGGGAAAAAAAAAAGCCAACCTGCTGAGGGGAAAGGTAGAAGGAGGCTGGATCCTTTATGACGTAGTTTAGCCAGCACTTATTCTGGTAACATTTATCTCCAGACTTTTTGTCATGAGAGATAATTAATGTCTTTATTTTTGTAAAGCAAAAAAGAAACTCCTCGTAAACTTTTATATAGAATTCATCAAAACAAGTTTTTTTCTTGGAACAAAAATGGTAAAAAACCTGGGTTTTCTAGAGATTTGTATGAATATGGAATGACAAAGATACACAAAGCTGAAGTATCTGGAATCATTTGGCTGCCTGTAGTCTTCAGCAAAATCACAAAGTGCTCAAAAATTCTTTGACCTGAGGGGAGGAAATAAATATTAATATAATTCCTTGACCAATTTGAAATTTCTAACATTCATCTCTATTTTATAGTATATAACAGTTGAAGACCCTAACTGCATAAGTAACTCCATCACAAAGATACAGCATTTATTTTCAAAGAAATATTACTAAATACTTCAGTAGTAAAAGATATATGACCTAAAATGTCATTTCAGGAGTTATTTACATCTAAGATTAATACAATTCTATAAGAGCCAAAGACAAATATAATAATCTCCTTATAACAACATAGACCAATGACGTGGAGCTTTAGCACCAAAAATATTAGTAACTGTAATGGTTTAAACAACTCTGAAAGGCTTAGACTTGTAAAATTTATAATTTTTCTGAAGCACAAATTTGAATCAGGTTTACAATATGTAATGTTAATATGTACGGAAAGGTCATGTAAGTCGTGAACGTCACCAACTGCCCAACATCACAATGCAACAAGATCCTGTTCTCTACAAATTCTAGATGGCATAGTAATTCTTCTGAAGAAACGAAGATACTGCCTTGAACACTGGAGAACATATAGAACTGTCGAATCAATATGTTATAAACCTGAAACTATATATAACATTGTATGTCAGTTATGTATTTCAATAAGAAAAAGAGAAAGTGAACTACTAGCATTATTAATGAAAGTAAAAGTAAACAATAACATTTAAAGGCAATTCTTAGTCAAAACACAAAAGTGTTAGATAAAATTAAAAAGTGGTTCTATAGATTCACTCTGAAAATGGTTGGCTATTAGTAATGCAATGGCTGATTTAATTTTATTTCATTTATTTTAATAATATCATAAATGAATTATATCCTGTATTTTTAACATCATTAATGGTATTAAGAGGTCATCTGAATTTTCCAAATATGCTTTACTTTATATCATGGGAAAAACAACTATATGCTAGAGAATAGTTAAATAACATATGTTGAGATTTTCAAAATTCTTGAGATATATCATTTATGAATGTCAGGTTCCTGTTATAGTAAATAGTTAACTTCGTGAAGGAGAAAAAATTCAAATTTCTCTCAAAACTAAACAAACCAAAAAAATGTGGCTTCTTCAGATCTTGGATCATCACTAAGTTAATTAACATGGAGAGTGGGATATTTATTATATGATTCCCATTATTATTCTCTCTCAAGTGTACATCAATAGGTTTTCTCTCAGTCCCTTTATCATTGCAAGCACCACTCATTAACAGAATAAAGTCAACTCTCAAATATGCAGACGATAGATTAACTCTGATTAAGACAATGACTCAATGATCAGGCAATGCCAATTCATCATTGACAAGGTTCCACATAAAAGTCAAAACTAAAAATTGTTTCATCTCAAGACTTGAGCTAATAGAAAAATGGATGAAATCCATATCCTACAACTTCCAAGTATCTTCCATACTGAATTTAGTTGAAAAAGATAAACTTAATTTCACAAGTAGCTTATTATTAAAGTACCTAAAGATTGATGATACAGAGAAAAGAGGAAGTAAAGGAAACAAAGCAGAGAAGGGAGTGAGCAAGAACTCTGTTAATGTGATCATCCCTGTATTACAGATAAAGGGACCAAAGGATGAATGAAAGAAACTTCTTATCTTAGCTAAAGCCACAAAGCTGAGTATTTGAAGTTAGGATTAGTCTAAAGTCCAAATCCATCGAAAGCTCTTAACTGTAACATTATATATTCTTTTCTGTTAGTAAGTTGTTTTCTCACAAGTTACAACACTTTTCTAGACAAGACAAAACAAATGTTAGTGTATAGTCTTCCTATAAATCTACCTTTTCAACCAGACCATCATGTTTGTCTTTAAAGTCTTCATTGATGTCCAGTGTTAAGATAGGGATATCTTGTAGAAAATCAAAGTCAGTTCTGTTTTAAAAAAGAGAGATGAACAAAATAATTAGAAAAAGCATTAATAAAAGAGAAACACTAAAAACTCACTCTTATACCATCTCTGGAAAATCAAAATGTTGTCAGTCATTTTATATTAAAATTGTCCTGCCAGTACTTTATCTGGTAGTCCCTTCTTGCTCATCTAGATTTACTACTAAATAATAATACTAAAAATATCTAAAAATCTCAGGTATAAAATATATAAAGCTAGGGCTTATGACATGTAATTCTTCTCAAAAACCAAAAACGTACCATAACATAGGAATGTCTGCATTTTAAAGATGAGAAAACTAAAGCTCTGGGAGGTCACTCTGAGGCTCAGTGATTGCCTAAGGCTGCACACTAATAACTATGGATTTGAACCAAGATCTGACTAATGACAATGAAGTCCATGCTTTTAACAACTGTGCTCTACTAGTGCTCAAGCCTTGATCTAAAAAATAAATCTACAGTAACTTATCTTAAATTCTCTCTAAAAGAGAGTACCTACATAATGCACATAAATATATTTCCTACTTTACCACTTAAATTCCATACATTTTGCTGTCAATAACATTGCGCGAGATTAGCTATAAAAACTTTAAGGAAACAGGATCTCATTATAAGAAAAAGAATCAAAATTCACACCTAATTCTGGGAGGTCCTATAATACTTGTTTAAAAGAAAAATGTCTGAAAATGAAAACTTGTACATGTTTTAGATTAAGATTTGATAAAGGTCTTTGAAATGAATAGTAAGTGAAAATAAGGGAGTCTTACTTCAGGGTTCTGTGCAGGAGCCAGCTCTCATGCTTTTCATGAAGCTTTTCCAAATATTCAAGAGGAATGCCTTGTTCTTCATTTCTTCCCCGTAAATATATTCTATTCAAGCATTTCTAAAAGCAAGCAATAAGAAAGTGGTGGGGTGCAAAGAATGATTATTCTTGCCTGCTGTCATTAAAGTTTTCTTCTCTAGTGTCTCTTTAGTTATGCTAGCCAACATCTCCATTTATTCCTTCTTGAAAGCCGACATAGTTCATTTTTCCCTTTTTGTGCTTTTCCATCATTTGGTGGCTATAAACCAAGGAGTACTATCAGAACAAGTCTATAAACTTATGGGATCCATACTTGAAAAATACTGTGTAAAATAAATTTGGTAAAAAGTTCAATATATAAAATGTTTCAAAATCTATTATAAATCTTCTTTTCAAGTACTTAGATGATCCTCCAATCAAAAGATATCATAAAATAACACTGATTTAAAAAGTTTTGTGTTAGACTTTAAGATATTGATATATTTTATAGCATTCTTTATGTTCTTCTACATTTACACTTGCTATATTTGTAATTAAAAACAAAAAAAATTCTTTTCAAAAATAAAAGTAAATTTCAAAATTATTGTTAAATTCTGGCTTCCTCGATATTAAAAAGAAGAACAAAACCATCACTTGGAATCAGAAACCTAGTTGCTTTGAAAATTCAGCTTCAATAGCAACATAGTATCCTTTCAAACTAGAAGTCATGACATTTATATTCATCAGAGCCTACTTTGCGGCTTACGGAAGACACAGGAATAAAAAACAGAAAAACTGAAATGCAAGCACCAAAACCAGAAATTTGTTAACAAATGTAATCTCTTATTTAGGTTAGCTTTATGAAAGGCATCCACTTAGTCTTCCTGGACTCATTATATAATTTCACATATAAACAATATAGCCATATTACAAGGCACATTTTCAATTAAGCTCCCATACCTGAAAATGGCAAGTGTCCTCTAAGTCTCTTCTCACCTGAAGCTGCTAACTACCTATCCATTCCAAGCCATGAACTATAAAAGATTTCCTGAAATGGACCTTCATCAACTTTGTCAGTCATTCACAAATATTTACTGAACTCCTACTATGTACCCAGGCCCTGTTCTAGGCAATGGAAATTCAATAGTATTAAAACACTCAAAGTTTCACACCAAGAAGCCTATCCTCTAGCAGTTACTTAAGCAAATATTTTAATCTAGCTGTGATAGATAAGAGACATTCCAAAAGTTAGGAAGAAATAATAAAGAACAGAATGGAGAAAGCACAGAGAAGGGCCTAAAAGAACAACTTGCTAAATGTGGGCTTCTACTTTGCTGAGAAAAAGAGAATGCCTCTCTCTGCACAGTTATGAGTTTCTAATTTGGATGTGGGGAGTAGAGTAGGGAATGGAGTTAAACTAAATTGCCTTCACTGCATACCACTAAAAGGACTTCTAAGTATTACTTTAAATTGGCAATGGAACAAACAAATTTATGTCTCACCTCTGGTGTTGCTCGAAGATAAATGATTCCATCCAGTTCAAGGCTTTGACCAAAATGGTGATTCATCCAGTCATGCCAGTCTTGATAAATTGTCCACTCTGTTTCATTCATGCAGTCAGATTCATACAAATTTGATGCAAAAACATACCTGAAAAAGAGTCTACATCAACACATAATTCCTTTCCAAAAAACACAAAGAAATAGAGAAGAGAAAAAAAGATCTCCTAAATGGACGTGGAACATTCTCCCAAAATCCATGGCAAATAATAACTTAAAAGGCAGAAAAAAAAATAGAATATCTCCAACTATAAAAAAATATGTTTTTGGAAAGCATTTCTCGAAAACGTATTGAAAGAATGCCTGGTAGTCCCCAAGACCTTCAACCAAAAGAACATAGTATACAGATGGAGAAGCCTATAATGAGAATCTAACAGTCTTCTATTAAGTTAGACATTAAAGAGATGTGTAAAAATGTAAAACAACCCTACTTTTCTAGTTTTTTTGAAAAATACAATTTTACAAGTATGTTACGCTAATATGTAATGGGCTTATTACTAATTTTAAATAAATAAGTGTCCTTTATACTTCTCAATATTAATTTCTAATAACATAAATATCAATAAGACACAAAGCTCTTTGGGCTCTTCAATAATTATTAAGAATAGAAAGGGATCCTGGGGTGCCTGGGTGGATCAGTCGGTTAAGTGTCCAACTCTTGGTTTCAGCTCAGGTTGTGATCTCATGGTTAGTGAGTTTGAGCCCAGTGTAGCCTACTTGAGATTCCCTCTCTCTCAGCCTCTCCCCTGCTCCTCCCTTCCTGTGTGCTCACATGTGGGTGTATTCTCCCTCTCTCAAAAAAAGAGAGAGAGAGAGAATGGAAAGGGATTCTCAGACCAGAAGTTTGAGAACCGTTGTCCTGAGCCAACACTCCAACTTAAAAGAATTCTTGCATAAACAAGGTAACTCTAAGGCTCCCTTAGAAATTTTTGATCTTGCTCAAGATGCAAGTCTAGACTACAGATCCAGATTTAATCAGAGTACATGAGAATTTTAAGAGCATTAGAGGGGAAAAAACTTCTCTGCAAATTTGAGTGACATGGCTATATTCCCAAAAGCTTCCTCGGAAGCTAGCAATTATTAATACTAGTACTTCCCTAATGCCATGATTACCAAACTGCTGAAGGTAATTTTCCATCTCAAATCTTCAACACAGCCTCTCTTATTACTTTGATTACCAGGAAACAGAAAAAAAAGTCCAGTTCCAAGCCAAGATTCCAAAATGACAAGCGCAAGTTATTTATATATACCTGTCACTATATATAGATCGTTCAAAAAATAATACAGGTTTCTCTGCATCTTTGAGCTTGCCATTAAGACAGGCAAGCTGGGCTCGTATTCGACTAAGGCAGGCATATGACTGGAAGGTAAAAGACCATCGTTCAGGTTTCTCGTACATCATTTGAAGAACATTCCCACCACTTTTCTGAGATGGTGTCAGTTCCTATTTTGAATGGGAAAAAGGGAAGAGAAAACAAAATTAATAATCAATAGGGCTATTTAAATTTTTTTTAAAAGTTCAAAAAGAGAAGTTAGATAAAAAAATGCATCATGATTAGCAAAACCAAAATGGTTAAATTCTCTTCCTCCTGCTCTTTCATTTTATTTTTCAGGATGCCTGAGGTCTAGAAGGCTAGCTTAACCATCAGCTCTTTATAGAGCTCTTCCACAAGAAGTCACAAATTAATGGCCTATGGTAGAAAATATTTGTTTGGCCCAAATGGGACTTTTTAAAAATTTGAATTAGCTGTCAATATTTAAAAGCTAAATAGGTTCACATAATATATCTGGATTTGTATTTTCTTTTTAAAAATGTGAAAACCACCAACAGCATTTTTTACAGAACTAGAATAAACAATCTTAACATTTAAATGGAACCACAAAAGACCCTGAATAGCCAAAGCAATCAGGAGAAAGAAAAACAAAGGAAGTATTGAAGCCGCTGCCTCAGCCTTCTGGCCAACTTAGTCAGTAAATATTAGCAAGCACCTGTAGCCTGAGTGATCAATTAACTAAACCTTTCTGGGTATATTTATAGAGAGTGTATTGTTTCCTAGAAAAGCCCTGAAGGAAACCCTCTAGTACCACCTCCTTCCCCACTGCCCTGGGCATTGTGATAACATCTGTAGCTGGCATGAAGTCTGCATGAATGCAATCAAGAAGTATTACAGACCACTGTGCTCCCCTTTTACTGATGAACTCTCCTAAAGTTCCTTTAAAAACCAAACCTCAGAGCTGGTTTTTGGAAAAGGGCCCACCATCTCCCCAGTCGGTGGGCCACCTGAATAAAGCTCATCCTCCTTTCCAATCAAAACTCATCTCTTGAGCATTGACTTTTTGTGCAACAAACATCTGAACTTGGGTTTTTCAGTAACAATATCACAATCCCAGATTTCAGGATACACTACAAAGCTATAGTAATCAAAACTGTATGATACTGGCACAAGAACAGATATACAGATCAATGGAACAGAATAGAGAGCCCAGAAATGACCCCATGCTTAAATAGCGCCAATTAATCTGTGACAAAAGAGGCAAGAATATAAAATGGGGAAAAGACAAACTCTTCAATAAATGGTGTTGGGAAAACTGGACAGCTACATGTAAATGAATGAAACTGGACCACTTTCTAACACCATACACAAAAATAAACTCAAAATGGATTAAAGACCTAAATGTGAGATCAGAAACGATAAAACTACTACCTAAAAGAGAATACAGGCAGTAATTTCTCTGACATCAACCATAGCAACATTTTCCTAGATACATTTCCTAAGGCAAGGGAAACAAAAGCAAAAAATAAACTATTGTGACTACACCAAAATAAAAAGCTTTTGCAAAGCAAAGGAAACCATCAGCAAAATAAAAAGGTAGCCTATTGAATGGGAGAAGATATTTGCAAATGATATATCCATCTGATAAGGAGTTAATACCCAAAATATACAAAGAACTCCTACAACTCAATACCAAAAAAGAATCTGATTTAAAAATTGACAAAGAAGGCGCCTGGATGGCTCAGTTGGTTAAGTGGCTGACTTCGGCTCAGGTCATGATCTTGTGGCTTGTGGGTTCAAGCCCGCATCAGATTCTGTGCTGAAAGATAGGAGTCAGGAGCCTGCCTCGGACTCTGTGTCTCCCTCTCTCTCTGCCCCTCCTCTGCTTGCACTCTGTATCTCTCTCTCAAAAATAAATAAACATTAAAAAAATAAAAATAAATTAAAAAAATAGACAAAGGACCTAAACAGACATTTTTCCAAAGACATACAGATGGCCAAAATATACACAGGAAGGTGCTCAACATCACTAATCATCAGGAAAATATAAATCAAAACCACAAGGAGATATCACCTTACACCTTCTGGAATGGCTAAAATTAAAAAAAAATTACAAGGATGCCTAGGTGGCTCATTTGGTTGAGCATCCGACTCCTGATTTCGGATCAGGTCATGATCCCAGGGTCATGGGATTGAGCCCTGTGTCGGGATCCACACTGACTGTGAAGCCTGCTTAAGATTCTCTTTCTTTCGGAAAAAAAAAAAAAAAAGACAATAAGAAGTGTTGGCGAGGATGTGGAGAAAAAGGAATCCTTGTACCCCATGGATGAGAATGTAAATTGCTATTGCCACTGCAGAAAACAGTATGGAGGTTCTTCAAAAAATTAAAAATAAAAATAGAATTACCATATGACCCAGTAATTCTACTACTGGGTATTTTCTAAAAGAAAACAAAAATACTAATTCAAAAAGATACATGCACCCCTCTGTTTATTGCAGCATTATTTACAATGTCCATGGACAGATAAATGGATAAGGAAAATGTGATGTGTGTGTATATATATATATATATATATATATATATGTGTGTGTGTGTTGTGTGCACATATATGTAAATGTATATATACAAGCACATACATATAAATGTATATATACAGTGGAATATTACATGGCCATAAAAAAGGATGAGACTGTGCCATTTGTGACAACATAGCTGGACCTAGAGGATATTATGTTAAATGAAATAAATTGGAGAAAGGTGATTAATATTTATATGATTTCACTCAAATGTGGAATCAGAAAAAAAATAATAAAAAAAGCAACAAGCAGAATTAGATCTATAAATACATAGAACAAAATGATGGTTGCCAGAGGCGGGGAGAACTGGGGATGGGCAAAATGGGTGAAGGAGAGTGGGAAATACAGACTTCCAGTTATGGAATGAATACATCATGGGAATAAAAGGCACAGCAGAGGGAATATAATCAATGATACTATAATAGCATTGTATGGTGAAAGACAGTAGTATACTTGTGGTGAGTGTAGTATAAGATATAGACTTGTTGAATCACTATCCTATACAACTGACGTTAATGTAACATTGTGTATCAAACAAACAAACAAAAAAACTTTTAATGTGGAAACCAAGCAATACTGTGCCTGCATTTTATCTCAGTAAATAGGGCCAAGTCACACATGCTTCCACTAAAGTGGGACATATGCTCTCCAGCTAATCAGCTCCTGCCATTCCCTTTGATTCTCACAGCAGGCCTGATTTATTTGTTTAGCTACCTGTCCCCTTTAGGTATTTTAGGCCTCAATCTTCTAATAAAACAGAACAGATCTTCCCTAAAATTTTGTGATTTTATAATCATATTGTTAGAACCAATATTTTCAGTATTAAGAAAAAAACATATAATAAAAAATAAAGTAAAATCTTTGTAATGTTATATTAGAATTTGAAATAGCATCCAGAACTCATGAATTATTTTCCTTCCTATAAAATATTGTTTTCCTAGCTCTGTCCACCAAAAGGCGTATCAACAACGACAAGTTTGTAGGAATGAACATAAATGTCACCCAGATTATGATCTCTAAATACCATTTCCCAGTGAAAGGAATTAGGGTAACATTCTTTATTCAGTCTGGAGAAATAAATGTAGAACATGAGCTTAACACACCTAGTTCCAGGAAATAAACTATTGAAATCTCCTGAGGCTGTGCCAAGGGCAAGAGAGCTAATGTCAAACAAAGGCTTCAATTTGTCAAAAGATAGGACACTATGAACATTCGAAAGGAATGATGAGTGGAAGGCAAAAACTGTAAGTTCAAATACTAAAGGGAACCAGAAAACAAAAAACCCAAACTCTCCAATCATCTTTGGAGGTTGCTAGGGTACCAATGAATTATTCTGGAAATTTGTATATAAAGAAAAAAAAAACATTAAAAATTTTATTCTGGGGGCACCTGGGTGGCTCAGTCAGTTAAGCATCTGACTTCAGCTCAGGTCACGATCTTGATGTAGGTTAGAGCCTTGTGTCAGGCTCTGTGTTGACAGCTCTGAACCTGGAGTCTGCTTCGGATTCTGTCTCCTCTCTCTCTGCCCCTTCCCCACTTGTCTTCTGTCTCTCTCTCTCTCAAAAGTAAACAAAACATTTAAAAAATATATAAATGGTGAATTTGTGTAAGCCTCCTTTCCTTGTGCCTGAGAAAAAAGTCAAATAAAGCCTTGAAATTATTTTGTAGCTAATCTAGCTATAGTTAACTAAAATGAACAAAGAGGCTCACATAACTAGATATAGTCAGAAAAGAGATGGAACCAGATCCTGAAAAATATGTACATACATACTTGTTACACCAATTCCACGGAAATCAACTAAAATTAGCAAAAGGAACATTTAGATCCTTGAAGTGTGATTTTGTTCCATAATCAATGAACATTCAGACCTTAAGTTTTCAAAAATGTTAAATAAATTTACACTGATAAATGTAAATGTACTCTTGATATAATCCTAAACTCTGGAGTAAAGGCAGTCATACATTTCCACATAATATTCTGTGATCATAATCACAAATCAAATGCTGGATAGTTTTAGTCATGACTTGACCCAACAGATAAAATTCTTATGTTTGCAAATTGTTAACTCAATTTCTAAATGGGATTACTTTACTCCTACTCAAACTTCTGACAAAGACATGCATGAATATGGCATTCTGTAACTATAAATTTTAAAATTCTTCTCAACTATTTGATCTCTGGAAACAGTGAAATTATTTATTGCTCTTACAAAACATCACAGAGGTTTACTACTAAAATGTTTCAATGCTTTGCTCAGATCTGTAGCCTAGAACCTACTCTGCACAAAGTACTATGTGTTTAAGTAATTAAACAGGCAAGGTTATCTTAGGTCCCTTCCAGTATTCCTATCACACTTAAAAACTCCTGATAGGTTGGCAGTATCTATTTGTTAATCTCTCTCCAAAAACAGCCTCCACTACAATATTCTATATAGGGGCGCCTGTTGGCTCAGTCAGTTAAGTGTCTGACTCTTGATTTTGGTTCAGGTCATGATCTCACCATTCATAGCATGGAGCCTCATATTGAGCTGTGCTGACAGATTCTCCTTCCCTCCTCTCTACCTTTCCCCTGTTCATGCTCTCGCTCTCTCTC